AGAAAAAAGTTTCTGCATGTAGAATCGCTAGGTACTTCATTTGAATATGTAACATAGGTGAGTCAGCTAGTATTGCGCTCCTCTCTTCTGACTGGATAGACAATTTCAACGTGTTCCTTGTGAACTCTATATTGGCTATATTTATGTTACCATGAGGGGCCATGCTATTACTCTTAAATTTCCATCTGCCAAACATAATTTTCCTCTTATCAAATGTTATAAAGTGTTGTACATCAGTTCATATGGATATTCTGTCCAGCACAGGGACAGTCAGTTTTGAGAGACTGATTGCTTACGGTTATGTCCCTGTGCTGCTGTACCACTTTTAACATTTGCCCATAAAATATGGGTGACTCATAAGTTTTCAAATGACTATGGCATGGCCTCCTAATGCAATAGCAGGGTCACCTCTGCCACATAGATGATGATTGCCACATCATTCAACAGCCCTGCATCAATCTGTGCACCCGTTATTGGCCTCAAGAGACGACCCAAACTCTCCGTCACGTCCTTTCCTCTTCCCTCATATCGCCCGACCTCTGCTCTCCACTCTCTGATCATCTAGTCTACTCTCAGATGGATCATGATGGATCTGGAGCGTCACAGAATCGCCACATCTCTCACCGTTTACAAACTGCCCTGTCAAAAGCGACAGACACCGCGCTTGCCAAAATACTCTGCCTCCATCATCAGCTTTTGAAAGTTTCTAGTCATTATACACTGAAAATGCTCTGTGTCGCCATTTTAAAAGTAAAATATATCAAAAAAAATGTCACACTTTCTGTGTTTAACAGTCTGTCCTCATAGAATAAATGACCCTACCTGATCAGGCTGAGACAGGTCACCAGAAGGGCGTACATAGATGACTCTGTCTTTAAAAAGCATGCAGAGTATGGTTCCAGTCAGTTCAACTCCAGGTTCCAGTGTAGGTTTGACCAGCTGTGTGTTTAAAGCTCTCAATATCTCCAATCTTAAATGTAAAAAAGAGAGTAAATTACTTGCATAATAAATACTGAATAAGTGGGTTTAAATGTAACATCTTAAATCACTCACTGGTGCACTGTGGGTTCATAAAGGCTGAGACCACATTGAAAGTTAAATAATTCAAGAAGAAACCATGTGACTTTAACAGAGGGGATAATTAAGACTCGGCACAACATCCAATCAAAGCCTTGCAAAATTTTTTTGACATTGAATCTCTCAAAAGGGCCAGATAATGTGAAAAGTAAATGCTGACTGAGAACAGTTATGGAAGCATAGGACATTAAATAAATGACAAGATATCCATTTTGAAGGAAGAATCTCATACAGGTGAGTAAGTGGTTGATGACGACATTATCATTCTTAATAAATGTGATTATGCCTTTAATTTTTAAATGGTTGATTACAAAAATTAACCACGGTTTCACTACAAAAACACATGGTTGTTGCAGTTAAACAATGGTAACCACAAAATAACCATGGCTTTCCTACACATAGTTTAACCATGGTATTTGTTGTAAAACTGTGGTTATACAAATGGTAATCAATCAAAAATGGTTACTACACTTTTACAACAATAAAACCATGGTTAATTTTTGTAAGGGATTTGTTTATGCAGTATAAAAATGCAGTATTAAAACATTTAAACAACTAATCTCAGAGTTTTAGTTACTTATTCAGTGTTGAGTTGAAGTTTTGATTCAAAAATAGAATGAATATGCTGCAACACCTGCTGGAAATTCCAACGTTTTTGGAATTGTACTCCACTGATAATGTAACCATTATTTAGGAGTTGGACTCTAGCCATTCCCTTTGGTACAACTGTGGTTTCTGGGGAGGTCAATAGACACACTTCTCTAATGAAGGGACCACCTGTGTTTCTTTGGCACCTAAAGGAAATAAGAAAATGTTATTTTGCACTTGCATTTCTAGTTCAGAAATAACATATCTTAAGTTACATATCAGGCAGTTAAATAGGCTACTCAATTATAGGCTAACTATGTCTATGACTAAATGCAAATACTTTGCTGGATGAATAGCATATTCATTGTTGTTCACAATTTTACCTTCTTCTCATGTTCACAGTTCCCCGTGAGGCCTCACCACTGAAGTTACGTGCGAATTGGAACGCTGGAGTGGGTCTGGTTTGTGGCAAACGGTTAAAAAGTCTTCGTCTCTCATTTTCTGAATGATTTTCTCTGTCCCCTAGAGCCTCCTCAATTCTATTCAAAATGTCAGGAGTAGTTAAAATTGTTTCCACAATGCGTCTAGCCATTTTAGCTCACTCATTTAAAATAAAAATACTTGCAGAGGTATATGGGTAAAATGCAAATGAGTGGCGCCAAATGAACTTGTATCTGTTTAAATTGGTCAGCGCAGCGCTGGTGAGGATTGTTCGCGCCGCGCTGCCCATTGGGTGTCGCTAGGAAACACGTCCGCGCTGCGCTGGTGAGGATTGTTCACGCCGCGCTGCCCATTGGGTGTCGCTAGGAAACACGTCCGCGCTGCGCTGGTGAGGATTGTTCGCGCCGCGCTGCCCATTGAGTGTCGCTAGGAAACATGTCCGCGCTGCGCTGGTGAGGATTGTTCGCGCCGCGCTGCCCATTGGGTGTCGCTAGGAAACACGTCCGCGCTGCGCTGGTGAGGATTGTTCGCGCCGCGCTGCCCATTGGGTGTCGCTAGGAAACACGTCCGCGCTGCGCTGACGAATCGGCCGCGCGGCTCGTACCATTGAACCGCGCAGATGACATGTCAGCGCGGCGCGAGCACTGTAAACTTCCGCTGTCTCGTCCCACGTTTGGTTTGTTTGGCTTCCCATACATATTATGTCGTTTTAACGACTTATTAAGTCGTTTTAACGAGATATTATGTCGTTTTAACGACTTATTATGTCGTTTTAACGACTTATTATGTCGTTATAACGAGATATCATGTCGTTATAACGAGATATTATGTCGTTATAACGACATACTAAGTCGTTAAAACGAAAGTCGTTAAAACGACATAATATGTCGTTATAACGAGATAAGTTTTCTTTTTTTTTTCTCACCTTGCGGTTCAGGGCTTCCGTAGTTAAACATAGTAGTAAACGAAACTAAATGTAAGTTAGTTGCTTTTCAAGTTGGAATGTTGCCTAAAAGATGTGAATGTTCACTCTTGTGAAGATTGATGTAAATACTGATTGACTGCCAGAATGTCTTGAAATGGATGGAAATTCCTCCATGAAGGCACAACATATATCGAGAACCTTTTTTACACATTAAGACTGCTCTGCTGTAGGCACTTGATGATGATAATTGGGGATTTGAACCTAACGTTTGTGATCATGTGTAGCCCATTACGCGCTCCACAGAGCCTTTTAAAACCACCACAATAAAATCATATATTGGTTGATCCAGCCGCATCATGTGATTTACAGGGAGCATATATTTCTACATGTCCATCTGGTGTCTTCAATCCCTTCACCACAGTGCCGTCTAGTGGCAGATTGCAGGTAGTGCCAGCTGGTCACTATAACAGGTCTTGAATAAGTTCACCTCAAAATGTAATTGAATAAAAGCAAAGTGTTGAAGGAATCTATTTAGGAAAAAAAAAAATTATTTTGAAGAGCCTATGTTTGACTGAATGGTGACTATGATGTCGAGGAGCTGTTAGGAGGCATCCCAGACTGCAACATAGTGCCGGGTAGGTGTTGAATCCTTGTATCCGAATTTAGCTAATTAGTTTAACAACATATGACAACAAATTCATGTTGTTATATGGGGGGCTTTTATCTCAAAATCCTTACGAACATATATCATTTTTTGAAAAAGACAGACACATATAAGTCTATACAATTCATTAATTTACTTAAATTTAAAAAAAAAAAAACGTGTACAACACATTATGATTTAACAATATACATTGTTGTATTCAAATCAGAACAGAAGTTTTCTTATATTACTCTATTTTTGTATATAAATTCATTTTTAATCATTTGTCAGAAAAAAAAAACACGCATACAAATAATAACAATTCACATCTGTCAGATGAACTCTGTTTTGCCGTGAAATTATTATGAAAATAGCAAACATTTACACAGTTAACAAACACTTTATCAACTAGTGCCGCATGAAAATTCCAACTTGAGCACCTCCAGATACACAGTGACTTTTGGTGCTAAGTTAAACAGCGTTTTAACCGTGTTTCTTTTAGCATGAGTGTGTGTGTGAATCTCACAAACAATGTCATATTTCACCACAAAATCTAAATAAAGATTTATATTTATATTTTGCATAAAGAAAAGGGTTTTTGTTTTGTGAAATTAAGTATCTCCAAATTCTCATTACCGTAAAAGCAATGTTTTACAGTAATGAGAATTTGACAGATGGAAATGAGCATGTGACCTGGACACGTTTTAAAAATTAAAATCAGCATGAATTTAAGGCAGTACAATAAATATAACCATGATACATACTTAAAAATATATGAAATTACATACGTATATATATATATTTAATGGTGGCCAAGAATTTGTTGACTAGTTTTAGTTAAATCATGAATTAAAAATTCATTCCCACGACTTTTTTCAGTAAACTGAGGCCATGTTAAACTCACTCGTTCCCTCGTTTTGATTTAACTAAAACAAGGGAACAAATTATTACAACGTGGGCACAATTTAGTAAAACAAGTGCAGGCGATTTAAGAGGGAACGAATTGGTAGAAGTAATTTGTGGCCACAAAATAAAATTTTGAGCGATATATGACCTAGGGCCGGATTCACGAAACAGTCTTAAGAATAAAATTGTTCTGCTATTTTCTAACTTTAGAAAAAATATAAGAATATATTGTACCAAAATATTTTCTAAAGTCTTTTTTTCTTAAGATTGTTCTTAAGACAATCATTAACTTCATCGTATGGGGGGTAAAAAAACCCCAAAAACTATGGAAGTCAAGGAAGTTTGGTTTCTGACATTCTTCAAAATATATTCTTTTGTGTTTCAGAAGAAAGAAATTCATTCAGGATTGGAACAACTTGAGGTTGAATAAATGATTATCCAATTTTAAGTTTTTGGGTGAACCATCCAAGATGTTCTTAAAAAAAAATATTTGAGAACTCAAGAATTGCACTTAGGAACATTCTTATGAACTTCTTAAGAACGTAACTTCCTGAATCCAGTCCCTGGGGGTGTTCTTGACCATTTTTGTGAAATTCACTCATATATGCTGTATTAATACAATATATTCATAATTAGTTTATTAGTGGTGATATACATTTTCTAAAAGCATTGGTGGTCAATACCATAAAAAGAAAAGAAAAAAAAGACCAGAAATGATATTATACCAGTTTTCACGCCCCTGGGCTGGGCTGGTTAACAGGGATCAAACTGGTCTGAACTGGATTTTAACCCAGCTTTGTGTAAACATCAGTTTGAGACAGACAATGAGCAGTTTAAAGAAACAACATTTGGCAAAACTATTGGTTACCCGATTCATTGCGCGACACTTCCAAAAGCTCTTGGCAGGGGGTAGTCCAGACAGCAACACAGTGTTGGCCCAGATACGGATTTAACGCATACCAGATGTGGGCCGGATCTGGGCCGACACATGTTGCTGTCTGGGAGACAACCTTCCTGCAGACTTCAGTTCCAACCCAGCTCCAACACACTTACCTGTTATACCTTGAACACATTGTTTAGCTGGTCCAGGCTTGTTTCACAAGGGTTGGAACTAAACTTTTGCAGGACGGCCTTTGGTAAAATACACAGAGTCATCTTTGGGAGCTGAGAAACATTCAACAGTCCCTCAAAAATGTGAGTAAACTAACAGAAGTAAGGGAAGACAGAGTATTTTCTCCTAAAATGATGATCTTTGGAATGTATTAGATACGAATACAAATCTGCTACTTATTAAAATGTTGGTAGTATATCTGTGCAAACAACCTCTTCAGTTTAGGGTAGAGCGACAAAACGTTTGGCCCACTTATATTGTACAATAAAAATTCCTTATTTTCAGTTTCTCTTATATCGCGGTAAATTTTGCGTCGTATTGAATTTACCACTACGGCATCGAGCAGACGTGATGCTTTTTTCAAAATTTTATACACAAACTGATCTGAAATAACAATGTTGATTAAACCAAAGCAATTTTAAGTTATACTTTATAGTGGCTGTTCAAGATGAGTGTATCTCACAAAAAAATTGAAATATACAAGTCATATTTGACCGTTAACCTTTTTGTTAATGTGATAATGTAACATTTTGTTAATGTGATCTCATTCGTAACAAAAAATAAACTTAATTGAATAATAAAGTGCATTTGTAACACAAATGTTAAGTATAATTTACTTAATGCAATTTATTTTTTGCATTGTTATATATATATGTTATACATTATTTTCATTGACACATATTTTTTTTATTTTGAGGTGAAATATGATCTGAATATTTCTTTGTGAGATTCATTCAAAGACTTAAACTATAGTCGCTTTATGAACATCTACTTCACTGTAAATCTGAATTTAACTTTCATTTAGTAACGGTTTAAAGTGACGAAAACGTTAGCAAGTAACCGGTGTTCATCTGTAAGACATACATGAAATACTTGGTAAAAAAATTCAATAGCACTTTATTTGACAGGCCTGTTCTAGTACTAAACTTAAACCTTAATATTAAATCCAAGCACTTATCTTATATTACTCAGTACTTTCTTGTATGAGTACACAGTTAGTACACATACTGAAAAATAAAGTGCGACGTTTGACACCTTTCATATCTAACTAGCGTTTTCAAGCGTTAACAAACCAATCGATTAGCCGACTGCTACGACATTACAAGAAAGGCCATTTGAAACCATTTTGAAACTTTCCCCAAAGTTAAGTTTGGGGAAATGTTCATGCTAAAAAGACATGAAGCACACTTTGCTGAGAGGTGAGATTTAAGTGAGTTTGAGTGCGACTGTGTTGTGCGCACACAACAACAATGTAAACAAAATGTAAAAAATAAAGGCGTTTTTCTTTTTTTTTCCAGTCTGAAAGGTCATTTGCACTGACAGTGATTTGCAGTGACAGAGCAACCAGAAGTCATTTTCAATAAATTTGCCAAAAGGAGCAAAGTTGAACTATAACCAGCCTCATAACTTTTAAAAATAAAGTTTGTGAGATTTGAAAGACATATCAACTGCCTGTACGGCGCCTTAAATCGCCAACTCGCATTACAAATGAATGACTTCCTGTCGATTTGTTGCTGCAAAACGCCTAAAGTGTGAACACACTCTTTTTTCTTTTTTCGTATTTATCAGTATTTTTGTCTTGTTTTACAGTACAAAATATCTAAATTTAGTTAAAAGACAAATTTACTTGTGAAGCAAAATTGTGTAAGAAGACAAGACACATATCTTGAATTAAGTTTTAAACAAAAACACTGATTGAGAAAATGAATTCTTGCAGTGTTTACGCAATTAACATCTTCCAGGTTAAAAACCAGACGTGAAATCTGAATCATTGACAGATGAGTACAAAACACGAAAAAAAGTCGGATCAGTGTGCTCATCTTTTGAAAGCCGAAAAAAAAAGGTCACAGTCGCATGACGAGAAGCCGGCCCGCATCCCTCCGGGTGGGGAAAAGTCTCTTTCTTTGAGATGCAGAACTCTCGCTGGAATGTCAGCTCGCTAAAATCTCCTGCTGGTCACGTCTCAAGCCTACAATCATCAGAATGATCAATTAAAGTTAACCAGGCAGGAAATGCTGGTCCCATACTTATTTTTTTCCAAACGAGATATCCTCCAGAAGGATAAAAGGTTGAGTTATGTCTCAGGGTTGGCTGTGGTCATGATCTTCATGTACTGGGTAAAGATCGTCTCAAAGGCCTCGTCTCTGTGTATCATGGCACCAAAGACCAGTGGCTGCGAGAACAAGATAAAACGACTCATTGTCAGACTTTACTCGATTATTCATCAAAGCAACAAGACAGACACTTTTATTATTTCAATGAGGGTGATGTCGCTGTAAAAAAACCCCACATTAAATGGCTTTTAACTCTTATTCCGCCATTGACGGAAATGTCTAGCTGTTATGCGGTAGGGGGCGCTATTACGCATAGCGTACTGAATCTCCTGATCAAAAGACATGCAAAGAAGAAGCAGAAACAAGCAGTAGCACATGTATGGAAGCTTTTTTTTCCACCATAGAATAAATAAAATAAAAAAGTAATTGCGACTTTTTCCGAATTTTCACACAATTCAGAATTTTTTTCTTACAATTGCATGATATAAAGTCGTAATTGCGAGTTATAAAGTCATAATTGCAAGTTATAAAGTCAGAATCATGTGATATAAAGTCGCAGTTATGTGTTAAGTCAGAATTCGCAATTGCGAGAGAAAAAAAACGCAGTCTTTTTTCCTTAGAATTGGACGTGCATAACGATGCATATGGAGGGTAGAATAAAACGTTTGGTTTGTTTATTTAAAAGCAGAGGCTCTATTCTTTCGTTTGATATATTACATGTCCAGACATAGAATAAAATATTCTGGGGGCCACGAACATTTTTTTGGGCGGGAAAAGAGTTAAGCAAGTCGTATTTAAGGTATATCCAACTCGCAACTGCAATTGTTTATATCGTCAAAAAATGTAACTATATTATCCTCCAGCTCTTTATATAAAGTAGAATATATATGTATTGACAGTAGGGTGATAGGTATTAAGATATTACAAATATTAATCATGATTTTCTGCGTTGAAACAATGTGTATTGTGATATACATATATTTGACTTGACTTGGCTTGACTACCTTCTGTGTTGACGGTGTGGCAATAGAAATGCCCATTCCAGACCCAGGCAAAACTGATAAAACTTTATACTGTGAAAAAAGCAAAGCAAGAGTTATTGTAACAGTAAGCGATTTGCAATCAACATTAAACATGATATGTTAACAACCCAGACAGCAACATAGTGTCGGCCCAGATCCAGGGCACATCTGGTACATGTGGACACTATGTTGCTGTCTAGGAATTCCTCAAAATGTTCTACTATGGGGAAAAAAGGATAATAAATAGAGTATAGCTCACTTTGGTTCCACTTTGTAGCTCTGAACCATTAAGTTACTCAAGAAAACGATTGTCTGAATAACATGTGACCGACAACAACAAACGATTTTCTTTTAAACTCTAAAATTCATTCAAAAAACAAAACAAAAAAACAGTTAACCTCCCCTCCCCCTCGAAACGTCGTCTGTTCTCATCATGTTGTGTGTTTCGGCGTAGACTACATATATTTTAGACTAAATTTCCCTTCACAACTGACTGCAAACTGCCATTCAGAACAGCAATGCCAAACTTCCTACAATCCAATCATTTTTTCATTCCACTTAAATTTCACTTAAATATATGTCACAGCAAGGAAGAAAGGATTAAAGGGTTAGTTCACCCAAAAATGAAAATTCGGTCAGTATTTACTCACCCTCATGTTGTTCCAAACCTCTATGTGTTTATGTGTTCTGCTGAACAGAAAGGAAGATATTTGGAAGAATGTTTTAATCAAACAGATCTCATTCCCCATTGACAACCATAGTAGGAAAAAATACTATGGTAGTCAATGGGGAATGAGATCTGTTTGATTAATACATTCTTCCAAATATCTTCCTTTGTGTTCAGCAGAACAAATAAACACATAGAGGTTTGGAACAACATGAGGGTGAGTAAATATTGACAGAATTTTCATTTTTGGGTGAACTAACCCTTTAACTTCCGTTTAGTGCTGACTTTAAAGAACTGAATACGTTTAGAAAATCTAATGTGGTAAACCTCACAAACTTTGTCAAATCTAGTGACTAGCTCTGACATGTTCATTCGTATTATTTTTTGGGTTTCTTCTTCATGGAAATTGCAGAATTCAAATTTGAGTCTGCCATTGTTCAGGGTTAAGGCTGGAATACACTAGACTACTTTTGCCCTGATTTTTAATCTGGATGAGAATGACGCTAGAAGATAAAAAAGTTATAGCCAGTCTCCAGATGTTTGGGCAATTGGAGTTGAGTAGTCTGACCATGGATTCTGATTTAAAATCTGTCTGACAGTCAGATGCCCTTAAACAAATTCTGTACTCATCAGACTTGAGAAGGCCGTCTGTCGGAAGCTAGCTATTTTAGATGAGAAAGTTTTAAATATGGATATCGTATCGCTTCAGGAGGCCTTTATTTACCACTTTTATAATGGATGGATGTATTTTTTAGGCTTCAAATTTTGGTCTCCCATTCAAAATTATGCCATTATAAAGCCTGGATTAGCCACAACATTTTTTAAATATAACTCCGATTGGATTCTTCTGAAAGGAGAATGTTATATACACCTAGGATGACTTGAGGGTGAGTAAATCATGGGATGGGATAATTTAATTTTTTTGTCGAACTATCCCCTTTTTTGGTCTGATTGCAAAATAAATCAATTTTATAATAATTACAATTGCATGATAGATATGTGACATTATAATTTAGAAACTCTGAAATTGCTTTTAGTAATTTTGAAATAATTTCAAATACTTAAATAAAAATGCATTTCTCATGTGCAGCCAGTGATGGATTGCTGTCATAGTGCTCGTATCAAGAAAGTGCATAAAGCATAAATAGTCAAAGATCCTTTAAGTTTATTAACAAAAGCAGAAATAGCCTCATTTATTTCAGTTAGCTGCCAAGCCGATATTTCTAATACTAAGTTTTTTTCATGTAATATTTAAATTTTACTTTGTTTCAGCTTGATTTCAATGACTTTATAGTTAGAAATAATAATGCACATACCTTCTGGATATCTGTGATGTCCACCAGTTTAATGACTTTGTTCTTCTTTGAAGACCCCGATCTTGAGCTGGAGCTCTCAAAACACAGGTAGCTGATGGATGGACAGCCATTTGTAATTATAATGTTACTACATTAATGTAAATGTTGATTCTATGGTGCCTTCTCATGTTAAATAATTGCAATGAAGGCATGAAAGAGATCTTCATAGTAAGAAGAATCTTTCTGTGCTCAGCAATCAGTAGTTGGGGGTAAAGCGTTACAAGTAATGTAATCAGATTACTTTTTTTCAAGTAACACATTACTTTTAAATTTACAACAAAATTCCGGTTACTTTTTTAAAATAAGTGACGCAAATTACTTTGATTTTCATTTATTGATTGACAGCTCTTCTGTCCCCATATTGAGAGAAAGGCAGAGGCGCTGTGTGTGTTTGTGTATGAACATGATGGTAATTGTAGTTCTAGGCTAAATGTGAGCATGAATTTACTCATTTCACTTGCACAAAAACATTCAGTATTCCTCAAAATGAATAGAAACAGTGAAATACAAATATACTTTATGTATTTAATCTCACTTTATAAACCAATGTCTTTGCTGCTGACCTTCGATGATCCAATTCAACTCTACCAATAAGCGACTAATAACTTTCCCCAATGTTTCTTACTTCTCAGTGACGTAGAGCATCCCGTTGCGAATGTAGTCAGTGGGCATCTTCCTGTCTCTGTTTATCAGACAGCATCTCCATCCATTCTCACACACTGAAAAAAAAAAAACACTACTAAATCACTTGGTTGTACACAAGTGGACAAGTTAAAATCTGTTTGGCATGTCCAACTCAAGCCTGTTTTGTTTTTGTCCATTTAGGTTCCAAGTACTTTTTTTTTTTTTCTGGATGCGGAGTCTCATAAGACAAGAACCAAGTCTACGAGAGGTCTCACCGGGCAGAGGTCTCTCATTCTCGGGTAGGTTGAAGATCTCATGGAATGCTCCTTTCTTTGTGTTGTGTGAACGGCCGGGCTCTTCCTCTCGGGTCACTCCGGGTGGGATTGTGGCTAAACTGCTCCGTGAGACCACTGGCTGAATCTTAACATAAAAGAGAGGGATTTTGGAACAACTCAAATAAATAGCTTGCAATAACTAACTAATACTTTTTAGTCATTATATTAAAGTGTAAAAAAAACAAAAAAAAACATTTTACTTACATAATGTGACATATTTCTGGGATTTATAGTATTTATATTTATAAAGGATAGGCGTTTGAGGGGGTGAACAATTTTTTTCTCTCTTCTGGAAAAACATGCACTAATCAATCACTCACAATAGCAATTATACCATGGTTCGCCTGAATACTCAATTCTGATTGGCTGAAAGGTGCGCAGTAAAACCGATTAATGCACAGATAGTGCCGTGTCAGTTTAATCACCATTCTATATCAACGCACTGCACACACACACACACGTATCCCATGTGCACTCCAGGCAGCTAGGTGGCAATGTGGAGCACTGCCACACAACAACACCAAGTCCGCGCGCCTGCGTATAACCTTCACTGTCAAGCAGACTTTTGCGTTTTTTACGCAAGATTTCCACTCTGGAGGGTGGTTTCACTTTTTTTGCGTTTTTAAGCCCCCAAAACGCTGTCGCCGTGTAAACGAAAGGCACATCCGATAAAGTATTTTTACGTTTTCACCCGCGAGCGTTTTATCAATGCTATCCCGTAACTTTTATTAGTAAATAACGTTCGCTACTGAATCACTACATTAGCAAGGAGTTTGTAACGTCACTGTTTTTGAAATAATTCAACTCACAGCTTCATTTCTAGTAGAGACTGCACAGCCAATCATCTCTCTCTCTTTGCTAATTTATTCTATCATTCAATCAAATCATTTTAAAAGGCACTACTTTATCTCTGTGTCCGATTTAAAGCGTACCGAATGCTATATCTAACGAGCCGTAGCTGGTAGCTGACGAAATTAACCACCATTTTAAACCTTCCAGTCAAATTTAGCGCTGCAAACATCAATAACAGCTTTAACTTGTCAATTCTGGCAAACAACCATGGTATAAGTGTAATAATTAACGGTTAGCAGTGTATTAAACAATTTGAATGCTTCCCTTCGCGTCGGGTGTTTTCTTTGCCTCAGTCGTGCATTAAAATTGTTTAATACACAGCTATCAGTGAATTACGCCTCATGTTTAACATGTATTAGGAAAGAAAACAGGTTTCATTTTGATTTCATGTTGACTTTAAGGTCAAAACAATACAAAGTGCGTTCACGGCATGTCGTAATTACTGTAATTACGCGTTTACGACTTGCAAAAATTGTTCACGTCCTCGTAGAAATCATAATGACTATTTGTAAACTAGGATGTTTCTGAGAGCCATAGAAATGTGTTGCCATAGAAACACAATCCCGAGTGCGAGGACAACTCCGAGTGGGAAGTCACGTGTTATCTCGTAATTACGACATGGCGTGAACGCAGCGAAAGTCAACATGAAATGAGTTTATGTGTGTGTCAGAAGTCAGTGTAATGATGTTTTTTTGATAGAAGGTTAAAGGTAATGGTTCTGGGAAAGATAAAAGGCATTGGTGGTGGTTGAGGAGATTCCCCCTTCCATATGTAAAAGCGCTATATAAATGTAACACATTATTATTATTAATGTTAGTAAGCGCCATTGAGCTCATTCTCATGGACACGTAGTATGTTCTCTGTACAGATTCCCAACAACACAGCAAAACTACTTCAATTCATTGTCCTAAAGGCAAACATTCAACTATTTCTACCTCTAATCTACTTCTAAGAACCCAAACTACACATTTTTGTGTAAAACAGTGTTAGAGTAGTTAACTAAAACCATGAAAAAAATATACAGACATCAAATAAAATAGTATATAACGAATAAAATAAAATTCTATTTCAGCTAGTTTCCAAGGAAACATTTGTCATTTTCATTTAGTTTAAATTTAATGTGCTAAAATAACAATTATATAGACATAAAAAATAATAAAAATGACAAAAACGCACAAGATTACTAAAACCGATTAAACAAATAATATTATTAATTCAAACTGTTAACAAAAACAATATAATAGTATCTCCCTGATACTAAAATAACACTGGTGGAAACTACTCGAAGCAATCCTTTTCTATCTATGCACACACACACACACACACACACCCATCAAATAGTCTGTGAAAATGGATTCAAAATGGCACATTAGCTGTAAACATTACAATAATATGCAATAGCTACATTAGATTACATCAAGCAAAATCATTAATATTAAATACGTTCAGTAGATCAGTCAATTAATGCTATTTTTTTTTATACAATTCTGCAGAGAGCAAGAAATGCCCATCTGATATTACACCACATAATTATATTTTGGATGAGAAATCTCATTCCTATTACTGTAACACCAGGTTTTATAATCTTTTTGCATGACACTAATGAGAAAGCTTTTATTATGGTAATGAGAACAGGATTTTTTCATTATAGTAATTAGAATGTGATTTTATCACATTAGACTAATGAGAATTACTTTTTTATTGTAGTTAGAGAATTTGTTTTTATGGATTAGGGTAATGTACATTATAGAAGCTTGTTTCCGCCACAGAATAAAACAATTAAAAAAATGTTTTTGTGACTTTTTAATCTTACAATTGTGACTTTTTTTCTCAGAATTGCATGTTTATATCTCGCAAAGGATAAGTCAGTCCTGTTTTCCTTAGAATTTGACTTTGTAACACGCAATTGCGACTTTATATCTCACAACTGTCAGAATTGCGAGATATAGAGTCACAATTGCGCGTCAGAATTCCCAGATGTAAAGTCACAATTAGAGCCCGACCAATAAAGGATTTTGAAGGCCGATACCGATACAAATATTTTTGGGTTTTAAAATCCGATATATCGGCCGATATTTGTTTTGTTTTTTATTAAATATTGTTGGATTTCACACACGTGTAAAAGAAAAGCTAACTTTTCTGCACAAGATACGTTTGATACTTTTTCTCTATGTCTAAATGTTCACTCCTCGCAAGTATAACTTACATTTTACAATGCAGGGACTGTAACTAGAGATATTCTAGTTATAAATACAGTAATCATTACTTTATTTAGGCAGAAAAAGTTCATTGTGGTTTCCAAGCTCATTAATGTTAACGTTAGCGGTCTTCCACTGATGATAGTGGCATTAGCTAACTTTGTGGTTAGCTAGTCTATGATGAGCCATAATTTAGCAATAGATAACATCATACTGCAAATTGTAAAACATACATTTTCAATATAACAGGCCAAGGAGAGATGATTGAAGCGTGTTTCATCCGTTTTAATTTTATTTTTTTAAATATTCATTTATCGGCCATTATAACTGCCGATACCGATATTTTGGAAAATGCCTAATATCGGCCGATATATCGGTCTGGCTCTACTCACAATTGACACTTCGCTAAGCCACGCCCAAAAACCGCCACTGGCCAATCATGGTTTAGCAACCGTAAGGTCTGGCAAGCTTTCGAGCAAGGGAAACATGCATTGTGTGTATGGATTGTGCAAATCTGATACCCGGTATCCTCAAACTTTGGATGGGGGAGTGAATTTTTTTCCTTCCCGAAAATCTTGAAATAATGGGTGTGATCAAACCCATTCACTAAATGAAGACAGGATTAACAAAAACACCTAACTTGGAAATAATGACGGTTCTTTGTTCATAATGCATATATTTTAACGTAAAATAAAACGATTAAAGACAAGACGTAGGCTAACTGACATACTTTAAAATATATTTCAGCATTTTTTTGTTAATCGACGGCCTATTCCTGACTGAGTAACTTTAACCCAATCCGATCTCGGCTCTCCCGGCGTTAGCGTTATTCCACACGATTTATGGATAAGCAGTTTGATTTATAAATATTAGATTATTTTCACATTCACATACTCTGCTGTGGAGGCGGCGGCTTCTTGCGCTGGGACGATAGGCTTTAGCTTCAATTTTTATGAAATTATTATGTCGTGAATATATCCCTCGAATGCATACTGTAGTCCCAGATATTTCACATATTCACCAAAAATGAGTAAAAATCTGATTGGGAATGTCGGACACCGGTGCATACACACTGCAATAGACATGCCAGGCGTGAAAGCTTGACAGGCGTAGCAACAGTAACCAGGGAGGGCGGGGCTTAGCGAAGGGTCAATTGTGAGATAAAAAGTTGCAATTATCCTTTAAAATGTTTTATTGTGTGGCGGAAACAAGCTTCCATAGTACAGAGCCATGATAATGAGGACAAAATTGGGGATGGGAGGAAAAATTACATATATTTCCCAATATATATTGATTTTGTGGTGAAATATGAACATTTCTCTGTGAAATGAGAATGACGTTAGTTGAGATTAAGTCCATTTTGATCCATTTGGCCACTGACAAAAATTCATATCACAAGGTGCATCTAGATCCAAACACACACAGGTAAAGAAAGTAAGGTCAGCTGGTTTGATCACACACACACACACACACAGGTGCTCGCAGAAGCACACCACAGTCCCTACCTTCTCACACCCAGACAGCTGAGAGAGAAAGACAACAGATTATATGTGATCGTCATGTCAGCGACTCTATACTGATGATGATTCCCTTACGAGGCAACACCCATCACTCTCATACGCACATATTTACAGTGCCTGACACTCTGAAAAAAAATGTTTCAAATAGGTATGACATTTTAAATGTGAAAACAACCCGGAGGCTGCTGTAACGAGTACGACATTGTCTCTTTCGGTCTCACCCGTCGAGACACGGTGGCATTGCTGCGCTCTTTCAGCTGAGGGTCCGTGGGCAGGTTGTTCCACATGATGAACGGAGTGTCGTATTTGTCTCGGAGTTTCGGGCAGCTCTTAAATAGGAAGTCTATAATAAAGAACTTGATGCCTGCGTAAAGCCCTACCGGGGAAGACACATACACACACACACCGTGAGAATGAGAAAAAAACAACTGCATTTCAGCACAAAAACTTCTATTTTGCAAGATTTAGTTCATTATTTTGAATCAAATTAACATAAATTGACTGGAACACATGTAAATTCACAGAATGCTCGTCTGTACTAAATATAATGCACAAAAAGTAAAATTTAAATGCATTTATAAATGTACTCTCCCATTCAAAAGATGGTAAGATTATTTAATGTTTTTAAAGGGTATTTCTTATAAGGCTGCTTTATATTTGATCAAAAATACATTAAAAAACGAATATTGTGAAAATTTTTTAATTTTAATATAGTTAAATATAGTTATAGTTACATTCAAGATATTTTAAGGAATGACTATTTTTTTATTTTTTTATTTATAAAAAACGTTTTTTTCCTTATTTTCTTAAGGAAAAAACGCTTAAATATGTAATTCTGGTGATCAAATTTTTAAGGGGTAAAATGATTGACAACAGGGGGACTGTTACACAAGAGACATGTCACATGAAAGTAACACTGAGCCATTCAGTGTTATTAGTGTGTATGGGGTGTTTAAGTACATATGTGGGGTTATGAATACTGATTCTCACCGATCATAAAGCCCATTAGCTTGTATGGCAGGACGCAGGAGGAGATGAAGGCCACCCACAGAGCGATGTACAACTTCTGAGTGATCTCAGGCTGAACCCACATAAACAAACTGATGTACACAAACACATACAAACATGGAGAAACATTCATTAATTTCCTTCAGGTCATGCTCATTTTCACTTTCCCTGAACAGAGTTTTTGTGTTCGCCTGTAAAACTCACAATAGCCTTGAAATATTATGGAAGAATTTCACATTTGTTTGTGAAGTTTTTAGGGAAAACGCTAAAAGTTTTGCAAGGGAACACAAAAGCACATTGATAATGTTTTCAGCCATCTTATATGTTTCCATTACCATGTCCCTTTAGCCCGTAGTCATACAATAAAAGTTAAAGAGATACTTACTTTTTGATTTTCTCCAAAACATCTGACATCTTACCAAAAAGATTCTGCAGAAAAATACACACGACATGAAATTTGAGAGAAATGTCCATAAAATTCACAATTCAAATCACAATTTCATATAGCAATGTCATATTATAGAATAAAAGTCCTCAAAAACTATAAAATAAGCATAGATGGAAATTACTGTAAAATGTTAAAAACAATTGGCGGCTTTTCCTTCATAATCACTATTACAAACTCACTCATATACAATTTTTTTTTTTTTTAATTATTTTTTTCAAAGATAAAAGTATACATAAAAAAGCCTTCTGATTAAAAAGATTTCGAGATCAGGAGTGTGGCCAAACTTTTGACCAATAATATAAATGCTAATTTAATTAATTTTTAAATGAAAATGTACAAAATAAAAGCGTTTATGTGTACAAGCCTGTTGATACCTGTGCTTTTTGTGCGACGTCGAGAACTAACTGAAACTTTTCAGACACAGTCAGGTCTTCTTTTGCAGGTTCCTGAAAAAAAGACCACAAGGAAGAAAATTGAAATATGCCCATAAATTGAAATATTCATGGCTATATGTTTGCATGTCAGTGACTTTTATTTTTATATTTAAAAATAAAAGTCACTGGCATGCAAAAATACAGCCTGGAAAAAAAAAAACATTCCTACCACAGGTTCAGAAACTTCAGGCACAATACTCCACTGAATTCTCCATCCTCTATAGAAAAAAAAACAAACAACAACATTAAATTGATGTGTTACATGAACAGTGCTGGTCAGAATTATTTGCCCCCTTGGTAAATACGATCAAAGATGGCAGTAAAAAAATAAATCTGCATTGTTTATCCTTTTGATATATATATATATATATATATATATATATATATATATATATATATATATATATACACACACACATATATATATATATATATATATATTAAAGCAAAAATCAAACCTTTTATTGAAGTAAAATAATTTAAATTGTGGAGAAAATCACATCTTGAAATTAATGTTTTTTTTTTCTCCAAAACATGTTGGCAACAATTATTTACCCCTTCTATTAAACACTTTTTGCAACCTAATTTGTTAAAAGGTTAGATTTTTGATAATTTTTTTAATAAAATATCAAAAGGATTAACAATGCAGATTTATTTTTGTCATCTTCGATCATATTTACCAAGGGGGCAAATAATTCTGACCAGCAATGTATAAATACACATGTACTGTATGTATGCTTATTAATATACAATCACTATAATAATGACTAATAATGGGCACACATATGTTGACACAAGGCCCAAGTTGACTACTGATCTTTTGGTAGTATAGAAATTCTTACAATTGGCAATTTCAGCCAATACACAACCACATATAAATTCAAGTTAATTCTAGGTAACATTTTTTAATTGAACCCTAAAATGATTTGACCAGTTCAAAGCCATTCTAGTGAAGAAGGAAACATTTTACCTGGCGATGAGGTAGTTCAACGACAACCTCAGAATGGCTAAGAATAGAAACAAAGGAATAGCCCAGCCATGCCATGCTGCATTCATGTAAATCTGTGACAAAAACACAACACACATTACATGTCTGTCCCTTTATTTTAACACTTTATTTTAATTTCAGTTACACTAAATTATAAGATGTCCCTGTTACAGTGTAATTATTTATTTAAGGACTGAGTAAAATAATGAACTACATGTACGTACTATAGGGTTAGAAATGGGGGTTGGTTTGGGGTTAGTTGTATGCATAATTTACACTTTTTACTAAATAGTGTAATCTTAGTTTCTTTGTTACATATGTTACTTACCAGTATGTATTACCAGTAAATATGCATAATTAATTGCATGCAACTAACCATATAACCATATAGTAAGTACATGTTAATTAATATTACTCAGAACTTAAATGTATAATCACACTGTAGCAATAAAGGGTTACACTTTATTTTAAGGTGTCATTGTAACAGTGTAATTATATATTTAAGCACTGAGTAATATTAATCAACTACATACTACTTACTAATAGGTTATGGTTAAGATTAGTGTTTGTTTTAGGTTTAGTTGCATGTGATTATGCATAACTTACTAGAGCCCGACCGATAAAGGATTTTGAAGGCCGATACCGATACAAATATTTTTGGGGTTTTAAAATCCGATATTCCGATATATCGGCCGATATTTTATTTATTTATTTATTTTTTAAACTGGACATGATAGTCACAAATTTTGTCATGCTTATTTGAGTTGAGAGAACTGATGGGGATGTTCTTTTAATTGTTATTCAAGCAATGTATGTCTCGTGACCAACTCAACGAGTGTTGCCAACAGGGACGGTGTAGAGTGCCCTCTGGTGGAAAAACTATACAACTCCAACACTCATGACATGGTTCAAGTGTGTTTCGTCCGTTTTTATTTTATTTTTGAAATATTCATTTATCGGCCATTATAACTGCCGATACCGATAGTGTGGAAAATGCCTAATATCGGTCAGCCGATATATCGGTCTGGCTCTATAACTTACTGTTATTACTATGGTAAGTACATGTAACATATCTAACAAGGACACTGTAAAATAAAGTGTTACTTTTTTGTAACTTAAATAAATGTATCTGTGTAATATGTACAGTTTATATGTGTAACTGTAAACATAGAAAACTGATGAAGGCCACTTACAATGAAGGCAATTGCTGACGTATATACCGAGTGCCAGTTGGATAAGGCGGAAAGATTCCGTAAGAAATTTGTTACCGGTCTGGCACCCCGTTCTAGAAAAAAAATAAAAAGATAAACAAGTAAAGCTGAAAAGTCTTTTAGTGAAACCATGAAATACATCAACAAATACAACAACAAAAATAGACTTACTAAGTCGTCGCATATTTTCAGTTAATCTGAAAAAAAAAAAGCAGCTTAATTTAGACACAGTTCGAGATATCATTCATATCAATGGCACAAACAGTGGCTAACAGTAAGCTAACATCACTAATTTCTTCCACCAACCACCAGGCTGTCTTGTATTTTTATAGCAAAGTGACACTTAAACCGTGTAAATCAATGAAAGCAGACAGCTGTGGGCAGCACACACTCAATACCTCTCTTCAGAGACAGATAGATGTACTCCATTGATCCCTGAGGGGACATTTAACAGACATGGACTCAATAGCCTCATGTATAATTGACACAGGTACAAGCATTGACTGGACATCAGATCCAGAAAACCACAAAACCTCAGGTGGTTTCGAAATAACTGTCTGTATGATATAAACCAAGTGGATTAAAAACTGAGGAAGCTCTGGCAAACTAGATTCTTCTTATTATTAAGGGTTCAAGCATGTAGCTTGGGTAAAAAAAACAAAAAAAACAAAAAATCTTTACCCTGGTTAGCTATAACAAAGTAATTAAGAAAATGGCTGTGGCCAAGTGCACGCAAACACGCAAAAAAATAAGTGAGCACATGTGACATATCAAGCATGCAGGTCTGGCAATACATGCTTCTATAAAAGTTATGACAACGTTCCTATCATTATAATGGGAAATTCCCTGTGATTGCCAGTCTAACCACGTGATGGCAGCAGAGGACCAATCCTTAAATTTTGAGTCAGCCTAGATCCCATCAGCACCCACGTCAAGCTCATGAACCCAAATAATTGCTTGCAGCTATATTTGTTATTATTATATATAGTCCAACTTCACTAGTTTCAGTTCAGCATATATAAATGGAAAATTCCAATAGACAAAACGTAAAAACAAGTCTGTACACAGCATGTTTGTAAGGGTTTTGTGAAGAGGGTTTTGCTATGTATTTGTCTTTTATTTTGAAAACTCATCATACGTGTCTTGGTTATTAAAAATAAAAGACTTAAACCAACAACCCCCAAACATAAGAACTTCAAATTATTAGCACAAACTGGCTTCAAAAATGAGTTAAGCTCTAATTATAATTACAGTATAAGTAATTATAATTTCCGAAAAAGGAGACGAGCTCTTCAAAATTGGACCAGCACAAATTAGACGACCAAGCATTGGCATGGTAAAACCCGACACTAACCCTCGGAGAAGTACATCATTTGATAGAACATATGTTAGAAAACTTTTATTTTGACAATTTTAAAATTGAAAGCTTAATTTTATGTCAGTTGATGGATCGACTCTTTGCCACTATACTTGGCCTATTCTGACTAAAACCATCCTGACCACAGGGGGGCAGATGTTTACAATAAAACGTTACTGGATAGAGACAGAAGAACTATGGGAAATGATAACAGAGCAAAGTATTTTAGTTTCACTAAGTTTAGTTAGTTAAAGAGTTGTATAATGTTCCACAGGTGATCTTTCTTCACTGACCTTTTAGCACTTAGTGGCTCCTCAGCCTCAACTGTGTTCTCCTCAGGCTGGAAGCGAAAATCCTCGATGTAAACCCCAAACCGATCATACAGCCAACTCTGTAGCCGCGAACACACCGTCTCCTTCTGCTGTTTGTCTAGTGAGAGTTAAGAGATATACTTCATTCTGAGGCCACAATCAAAGCTCTATTAATCTGAATCCTGAGAGTCAGGGAGCTTGTGCTCTACATTCTCATTTCCTCCCTCAAACAAAAGAGGTCGATCTGGCCTAGTTGGTCTACAAATTTAGACAAGAGCCTAAAATAACAACTGGAAGCTTCCTGGAGCAGAGATTTCAGAAACCAAAACGTTCTGATGTCACAAACTCCCATGTAACTAATCACGTCAACGTGTGATCGTCAACGAGTGGATCTGATGTGAGTGAGTGGAATTGGGGTTAATCTGAATATTTATAGAACCGCGTATACTAAATGAGGAAAGGGTGCAAAAAAGGTCATTTTGGTGATCAAAGATGAGTTTTAAGGGATAAAGTGATTGACTATAAGGGGACTTTAATAATTAGGATACTACATTTACCATATTACAGGGAACTACACTAACCTTTTCCACTGGTGGCACTTGCGCTACTAACTTTTTCAGTTACTGGCGCAAAACATGATTTGGTCGCACAAATTATTTATAGTAAGCCGCACTCTGGATAGTAATGAATAATAATGAAACTGCATTAGGGGTGGAACGGTACAGAAGTCACGGTTGGGTCGGGTTCATACCTTGGTTCAGACATTCAGACGGTTCGGTACGATTTCGGTACAATGGAGTGAAAAGCAAAACAAAAATGGCATTTTTATAAATGTCTTAAGCCTCGTATTTTTTAAGTTGTTTAAGTTTTATTAATAAAGGCATAGAACCAGTTTATTTGTAGTGCACTGACAATAGTTTTATATAATTAGTTTATTAATTAAATTAATAAAAAGACAAAATGATTTTGATATATGTTTGGTAATTGTACTTGAATGAATGTAAAATTAATTTGCAATATTTCAGATCAATATATTTTTTTTCCTTAATTTTAACTAACCCATAACTTTATTCTCATCTGAATTATAAATACATGATTTCCGTATAAAATAATTACCATTAAAACACATTTGATTTTCTTTTTTAATCAATGTAGAATCATATGCAGGACTGTTGGAAAGCTGTGATGACAATAAAATGATAGCTTATAAATATATCTCTGGTTGTTTCTGTTCCACAACATTTTGTCATGTTTGGGGTGTGGGATGAAGAGAGGGATATTTTTCAGTAATTATTTAATAAAACATTTAATTTATCTTTAGTGTGTAGTATTAGCCAATCAGGTGTCTTGACGCGAATCACGCGATTATGATTATGAAAAAACTAACGTTAGTCTAAAAAACTGCTAGTGATCATATAACGTTAGTCGATGTCAATATCAGCGCTAGCAATATAATTAGTTAGCTCATGGCAGAGTTTATCAGCCGAACACCAGACCGCAAATCTACCTTTGGTGTAAGGAAGAGACACGGTGTCTTACATCTCTGCGTCTTTTTCCTGCCGCCATGCAGGCTCAGATGGTAGCCTATATGATTATGATTAGCATGCCTATTATAAAGACACAAACCTTTTACTATCATGTCATTTGAATAATATGCGCGCGATAGAGAGAGAGAGCAAGACAGCGCTTGTGTTGTGTGAAGACGTGATAGTGCGCGCGTGGCCAGGGCGCGCTCTCTCTCTCTCTCTCTCAGCTCGTTTGCGCCCTGTCAAACGCATCAGTCATTCTACTCTACAACACTCACCGCGATCAAAAAAGGCTTTGGCGGGACAAAAAGCGGACGATCCGACAGGTTTTAGAAGATTAAATACAACCCGAAAGAAACTAAAAAAAAACAGACCCGTCAAAATAGTCAGTGATACATTTGCGACCCATTAAAAATTAGGGTCGCAATGGGATTTCAAAAGGTCGCATATGCGACCATTTTGGTCGCAGTGTAGTTCCCTGTATTATGTATGACAACAGATAAAACAGATTTTACGAAAACAGATTTCAAGACGTAAACAAGATTCATTCGATTTAACAACTTTTATTACATTTTTTTTCCCATGTAAACTACAAAAACATGAATTCGCAAAAACAGTGACATGCGGATTTTCGCGGATCCGTGTGAACTGGGATTTTTTGTCGTTTGTACTTTGAAAAACGTTTACATTTTAACTACACTGCTCTCGTGCAAACGTACGCTTAATGTCATAACATTGTGGGTTGTGTTACCTGTGCCATTAGCTGCAGGTGGCGGCTGTTTCCGTGGAAGCTGAGGTGGAGAATCTTCACACCTGCACCAGGAAATATAAACTACATTAACTTTCAGTTCATACAAAACTTCCATAAAAAAAAAAAAAAAATACTATAAATATGACAGATATTCACAGTGGCAGAAAATGACAGAATGAGAAAGCAAGTGGCATCTGCAAACAAATTATGTTTTCGGAAACCGAACCATAATTTTCTGTGAAAATTTTGCAATGACTTTTAACGAACTTGAGTCAAGGAGTGCGCAATAGTTGTCCTTGCTAACAAAAGTAAAACTCAAACTTAAAAATCATTTTTGACAATTGAAATGAAGCTGAGATAAAAAAGATTTTTGTAGATGAAATAGTTCACTAAAATAGAGTAAAATAAGTATAATCTGAGCTACTAAAAAAAAAACTGACTGAAATAAAATCAAATTAAAGCTAAATAAAAACATTTAAAAAAATTATATAAGCACATAACAAAATAAAACTTAACCTAAAATTAAAATTCAAAATAAAAAATACATAAATATTATAAGATGAAGGTCAAAGCCAACATTCACAAAAAAAAAAACAGTGTAAAAAAAAGAATGCAATGTTTGTTTAAAACTTGGTATATTCTGATTATTTTAAGAATTGCACAGATAAGAAGATTAACACATTTAATATTTATATATTATTTAAGTTTCAATTGTTTTGTGTTCAGCCATTTCCCCCCCACAATTTTGATAACTTTAGTATAAGCTAAAATTATATTAAACGTTTGATTTGTGAATCTTTTTCACACATATGTGCAGGTCAATGGTCAGAAACATTCTCTATTCAACATACAGTAGCTCAGTACACTCATGTGCAAGTCTAACGTGTCGCCAATCACATCATTGGAAAGAACACACTGTACCAACATATTGTTGTGTACGACACTCTGGCGCTCAGGTTGTGGTAAGGGAACCCCACAGAGTGATATTCAGGACCGGGTCATTGAACACGGTTTACACAAACTGTAGAACTTATTAAAAAAAAAGAAGTTTTCTATTCCCAATCCCTAGTACTTGCATAGAGCATCTGTGGCCTCAGGCTCCTGTGCTCCTCATCCATTGTTTGAAACTTTGTCAACTCATTTTATGTAACGACTTCATTTGTGTTTGTGTTTTTTTTTTTTTTTTTTTTTTTACCTGGTCTTCAGCACATCGCTCATCTTCTGTTCCAGGTCAAGTCTTCTGCTGCGTTCTCTCTCCAGCTCCTGCTTAAGGGTCTCCACATTGGTTTCTTCTCGGAGCTTCCGCAATTCCTCCTCTAAAAAAACAACAAGAAGAATATACAAATTACCACACACTTCATTGTACCTTCTGTAAGACAAATATTATGAACTAGACCTTGATATGATATGTAAGTGTTAACAGGAAGATTGAGTGATATTTATTCATTTATTTTTAGTGATTTTATTTATTTGGCACATGGATATGGTAATCACTCAGTGTAATCATATATATATATATATATATATATTACACGGAGTGATTACCATATTCATGTGCCAAATAAATAAAATGGAAATGGGGAAATGGAATATGCCCAACATAGTGTCGGCCCAGATCCGGCCCACATCTGGTACATGTGAATGGTACAGTCCAAATGTGGGCCATAATTGGGCCGACACCATGTTGCTGTCTGGGGAGTGATGATGGATGTATTCATATTACACTTTTCCATGGAGATTCATACAAAAAATAAAGTTAATACAGTTAGTATTCATGTATTTTAAATGCTACAGTGAAAAAATATTTATTACTTCATTTCGATACCTGTTATCTGTACAATCCCGTACAATATATGCACATTTACCATGGAAACCAAATGCTATACTTCAATGTCTCTTGTATCACTTCACCCTCTCTTTTTCTCATGTTAGAGATGATAGAGTTCAAAATCAAATAAATAATCAATGTACATTTATTTACAATGGTACTTTGTAATAAGCAGGTTCATTTGCGCTCATTCAGTCATTATTGGGAAATCAATTTGAAAGTGTTTTCCTCAATAACTCTCCAGTCTTCTCAGTGGTCTAATGTACCGCTGTGAGCCTGCAGCTATGAACCCTACATGGTCTTTGTTCCCAGCTAAGCATTATAAATATTTAAGTGCTAATATGAGCTTCCCCTCATACAGAGGGCCATCAAGGAGAGAATAAGACCTGAGCGACCATCAGCGCTCTGTAAAACTCTAGTACCTGACCACTAGGACCATTAGTGGAAGAGAGGAACATCGCTAATCAGGCAGTCAATTAATCTATAGCGATGTTTACTCACAGCATTTAGATTTTCACAAGGCTGGGCTGCCTAATTATAGATTCCAACTAAAATAAAAGGCCAAGTGATTCTGATTCTTTTTATTGGTGTTAGCTAAAGCACACAACACATGAGTTGCTGTTGCCCAAGCATAGAAATAGTAGTTTAAACAAACTTGGTGAGTAATCTGTCTTCTGGGATATTATTCAAGCAAATTTACTCATAGTTTTCAACAAATAAAAATATAAAACTACTCAGAACACTTCAGCAAACTGCATAGCAAGATGCTAACATCTACTCTGAAACCCTTAGTTAGTGCATTGCAACTTGGTAACATGCACTAAGAATATCTTAGCAAACACAATGCCCTGGCAACCACTCATAACACCATAATGACCACAAAGACAACCATTCATGGCATCTTAGCAACGCTAGCATCAAAACACTCATGTAACACCCATAGCGAGAAAATCTACTTAATACAAATGAATTTGTTGCTGCCAAACACTTTTTTTTTTAAGTAAATAAAGGGTTCCTCAAAGTTGCTGATGGACAAATCACACAATGTACTAAGCCGTGGTGTGTCTCATCATCTGCAACTAACATCTTTAGATCTGTCTCACTGGCCACACAGAGAAAAGACTGATGATGATGCTACAGCAATCAGTTCATCTCTAATTCCCATTGATCTTCATGAGAAGAACCTTTCTGAAGTCTCTTCAGGCAGAAAATCATTGTTACTCGAAGCCTGAATGTGTCTGATCAGTCTGTTAAAGGGATACTCCACTTTTTTTTTTGGAAATAGGCTCATTTTACCACTCCCCCAGAGTTAAACAGTTGGGTTTTACCGTTTTCGAATGCATTCAGACGGTTTTCTGATATTTAGAAGAATATCAGTAACCAGACAGTTTCTGGTCTCATTGACTTCCATAGTAGGAAAACATATACGTATATAAATTGCATGTGGAAGGTGTAAAATATTCATCCAATTGTTGCCCTCAGAACGAATGTGTTACCTGCATGTCAACATATGCATTTTCTACAAAAAGCAGCCACTTTTTACAGTTCCTCCTGAACCAAACCAAGAGTTTATGCTGTGTTCACGCCATAACTACTGTAATTTGGAAGAGATTGACATTATACTTGGTTCTTGGCTCGAATTTATGCATTTCAATGGCAAAATATCCACGCCGAAATGACCTTTAGCAGTGAGTTGGTACAGGGCAATGCTCTTTAAGTTGTTTATGTTCCATATTATTGAAATGCTATGCGCTTTTGAGACAAAAGGTAGTTTAAATTTCATTTGCTCTCTGCTGTGTGTTCATGTGTTTTGGAGGAGGGTCGTGGCTTTGCTTTCACTAGCCTCTCTGAAAATCCCCTATACCCTAACTTTAACAAATCTTTACAGTATTGAATGAAACATTTAGCCTATATTTCTATTACTATTACAGCAATTCCATCTTTTAGAAGTGCCACTTGGAAAATTTGGTTCATAAAATAACATTGTCTTATAAAATAATACTTAGAACAACAGCCTTTAACTTTGACTGTATTAACAATATAGAAAAAGTCTTCTAGTATGTTAGTATGAAATGAAACGATTTTTAAAAAAATTATTTTTAAAGTTCCGGCTATGAATTAGCATTCTTGTTTGAATGATTAGCAATATGAAACCTTTCAAAGAATGCTGGGAAGGTCATGAAATATAAATGCATCTCTGTCTCTGCCTCTTTTTCATTCCTTCTTCCTCTCCTGACACTCTCTTTCTCTCTTCGTAATAATAGCCCTTCACAATGTGCTTCACGATCTCTCGCTCAATGCCAGTAGATTCACAGCACCCCGCAGACAGACAGCAGACGCCATAAGGCACCAATAACAGAAGTGGAGTGATCCACTGTAGTGCTGATAGTCCTCAATCCTGCACAACAGAGCCATTTCAGAATGACTACACACACTAGACCAATAAATAGAGATATGAGTCTTTATGTCTGATGTATGTTATATACGTTGCATTTTATAGGTTAAAATTTAAAAGAATATAATATATAAATCATCTGTGCTCAATTCAGTCAATCTTATATAAAAAAGGGCTGTGGCTGCACCATGGTAATATAATGATATAAAGATAATACCTAATTAATTTCTGTCATTACATTCTCACATTCTCATGTCGTTTCTAAACCCGTCGGACTTCCGTTCATCTTCGGAACAAAAATGAAGATATTTTCAATGAAACCTGAGAGCTTTCTGTCCCTCCATAGACAGAACTACCACTTTGACACTTTAAAAATTTCATAAAGGGATCATAAAACGTATTCGTATGAATTGTGCGGTTTAATAAAAAGCCTGAATTAAATCTCTTCATCAAATAAAGCAATCAAGTCTCTTCAGAAAATTCATATGGATTAGTCTGACGAACATGTACTTTTTGAAGCATTTTGTAGTGGTCCATGAAAACTCTCAGATTTTATTGAAAACTTCATTTGTACGAATCCTCATCTGTAAATTCCCTAAATAAAACCTTGTTGACTTCCTCTTCTAATGGTTTCACACTGTTGCTAGAACAACACAGTCACACCACAGATTTATTTGAGAGCTCCACTTTGAGAACACCAATTCGAACACCATTTTTTATTGCAGTGCCGGATCCTGACATAGGCGATACAGGATTGCGCCCACTCTCAGTTTGCCACTTTAATTGAATTTCTTGTATTTTTTTATGGATGACTTTTATGGAAACCACATTAACCACCCTCCCCCCCCCAACCCCCCCCCCCAACAGCCAACCGCCACATCGCCACAATAAATGCAAATTTTAGTTTCTAAAGAACACAAGGCTCTTTGGTTTCATGACCAACAAATCACTCTTCCTAATGATTATTATGAAAGAAAAAGACTGTTATGCCAACATGTAAAGACAGCAACTAATCGAATTTATGATTTCATAATAGTTAGGCAAGGAATAAACAACCGAGGGCATGCCATCGGAGCTGTGTAAATTCCATTGAGGAATAATTTTCGGAAACGAAAATGAGACGAGAACTGAATAAAAACTAGTTTTGAATGACAAAATCTATTGAGATTTTCGTCAGCGAATAAAAAAAACTGAACAATAATGTTAGGGAGGGGCGATTTGAGAAGAGATCCAGTCAGAACTGATGTCCTGTGTGTGTGTGGTAGATTGGATCATAGATATGTATATAAAGGCTAGATGTGTTGCCCACTTTGCTGGCCAATGGAGGTCGACGTCAGCACCTGGCGGCCATCTTGTCACAGGCAGCTCGCTCATTGGTAACATTGTTTTAATGGTGCATGTACTTTTTAAATCACCGTAACTTGCTCAAACAGTCTGGTTTGTTATAAACGGCAGAGATGTAGTTATGATACTGCATACTTATGAATAATAAGTGTATAAATAAATAATCATCCAGAATTATAGCCACGTTAATAACGTTTGTAAGAAACCAAACCGTTTGTAAATCCGTCAAGATTTCAACCAAATAAGAGTATTTCTTACATCAGATACCACCGACCCCGCCAGAAAGCCTGTCTGTGACAAGATGGCCGCCGGTGATGACGATGGAAACTCCGCCGTAACAAATCTAGCCTTTATATACATATCTATGGATTGGATATTGTAATGTGCTGCTCTACCCGGCGGGACATCAGTCAGCACGCAATAGTCCAACCATTCAGGCATTTGTTTGCTGGAATTTTGTAGCTTTGACATTAGAAATGTATCCAAAATAATGGATATAGTAATATAGCAAAGTCTTAAATTGCCAGACTCCCTAAGACCTAGAACAGTACGAAACTCCCAAAATACAAAGACTAGTACCAGCCACCCAAAGGCTGAAAATTTCCTTTTTATTACTGAGAAGCTACTTTGAAACAATCTGTATTGAATAAAGAGCTATATAAATAAAGGTGACTAGACTTGACTTGACTAACAAGTTGAAGATACTTTGAAATCAGATTTAAACAAGATGTAAACAACACTGGTCCAGA